AAAGTAGGAGGATACTGTGCGAAAGCAGTGCAAGATTTTGAAGCATACGAAAAGGCAAGAATCGAAGCTGGCCTTTCTGTGGCCGAGGAACCGTGTGCATCCGGTGACAATAAAGTATCGTTTTTTTTGATTGGTTTATTACATTTTTTATTGATATGCCTCCTCCCCCCTCCCCCCCCTTTGTCCCCCATTTTCCGCCTAAATGCATCGTTTTTTGAGGAGAACAACGGAGCTCTTAATGGCGACAAATGTCAAGATGATGGCATTGAAGTTGATGCATGGGAATTGCTAACCGAAACAAAGATCTGTGACAAGCTGCCAAATAACATGGAGGCGATGTTAATGTCTAAAAAGTGGAAAGAACGCGTGGAAGTTTTGGAGGTACCACTTTCTTGAAGATTTCTTATCTTTTTGCACCAAATTGTTGCTGCTTCTTTCTTTTCCTTCGTTTTCTGAATCATTTTTTATGCGTTCTTGCCGTGCATCGCTAGAGGGCTGCAACAGGCAGAAAAAACGAATATTACAACGACTCTGTCTATGTGTGTATGTTTGTGTGTGTGTGTTTGTGTGTGTATGTGTGTGTGCTCGTCTGTCCGGGTATTTCTACTCTCCAACTACGCAAGCTTTGATACTAAAATTTTGCAATTTTCCCTGGCCAATTGCGACACCAGGAACGTGATGTCAGCTGTCACGCACCTCTACATCTTACGTACGGACACGTGAAAGTTTTGGCAGAAAAATTGCTAGCTCGAAAGCGAAAAAAAACTGGAAGGCTGGAATTTTAAGTGGATGTTTCCTACTCATATACGACTAAAAGATTTCATATTCAGCTCTTCTAGAGTGGGGGTTTTTTCGCGCATCAGCAACTTTTTATTTGTCAGGTCATTGAAGCCGACATCTACAACTGACATACCACATAGTCGCACAATTAACTTCCTGAATTTCGAGGACCAGTATGTCACAAATCCTAGCTACTACGGCTCCTTGCAATCTTGCTACAGCAGGAAATAGCGCAAAAATGCATGATCGTACCAGCTCGCCTGGTGCCTCCCAGCCTAGGTCTTGCCTGTTTATGACCTTACACAGTGTTTAGCACTGGCATATTAATTGTTCCAAGTTACATTTATTCGCTTAAGCTAGTTTAAAGAGTATTTTGCTAGGTGGCCATTGCAAGTGGGTGATGAGCGCAGATGTTTTCAGGCATTGTTGGATGTTTTGGAGCACAATCCTCGACTCGATCCTCACGAGAACCATGCCACACTCATTACCGCATTGTGCGCGGTGTGCATTTTTATGCAAGCTTTGAATTTTACTTTTTGAAGCATTTGCTAAAAATTTTTAGCACCCAAACGCACCGATTCTGTTTTTTTACGTTTTTGTATTTCAGATGCTTGAGAAAGATACAAATGT